GATTGCAGACATGAGCTATCAGTGTCTGAAAGAATCCATTGGATTCTGAGCTTTTGTCAGGAGATTTTTTTTTTTTTTATTACTGCTTCAATCTTAATGGTTATTATAGATCTATTTAAGTAGCTTATTTTCTATTGGTTTAGTTTTGGCAGGTCAAATTCATCCAGAATATTATCCACTTCTAGATTCCTATTTTTTTGGGGGGGGAGGGTCCAGTTGTGGGGCTTGAATTCTAGGCCTGGGCACTGTCCCTCAGCTCTTCAGCTCAAGTCTAGCCCTCTACCACTTGAGCCACAGCGTCACTTCCGGCTTTTTTTCTTTTTGTTTATGTGGTGCTAAGGAATCGAACACAGGGCCTCATGCATGCAAGGCAAGCGCTCTACCACTGAGCCACCTTCCTAGCCCTAGATTCCTATTTCAATAACATTTTTCAGAGTATTCCCAGGGATTTCGAAATATACTGATTAAGCCAGGTGCTGGTGGCTCAGGCCTTTAGTCCTAGTTACTCAGAAGGCTGAGATCTAAGGATCTCGGTTCAAAGCCAACCCGGGCTGGAAAGCCCATGAGACTCTTATCTCCAATAAACGACCAGAAAACTGAAAGTGGCTCTGTGGCTCAAGTGGTAGAGTGCTAGCCTTGAGCTGAAGAGCTGAGGGACAGTACCCAGATCCAGAGTTCAAGTCCCATGACTGACAAAAAAACAAAAAATAAAAAGCAACCTGATAAAACTTCATGTTAAAAAAGCTCATTACCATGAGCTTTATCCCAGCACTTCATTTTCTCTTAAAACAAAGTTTAAGTTGCTTGGGCTGCTCTCCAACTTGTCATCCTCCTACCCGTACCTCTGGAGGAGCAGTTGGCCATGTGCCACTATGCCCAATTTTCTGTCCTTTTAAAGCTTATTAATTCATTGTATGTCAAACAATTTTGTTCATCATTCACTCACTGATAGCATTTGGGCTGTTTCCATCATTTGGATAACATATATTACCCTGCTTAGGAACAAATATTTGTTTATCTGCTGTTTAAAGGTTCTATTTAAATTATATCTGGTAGCAAGAAATGTGATTCTTTAGTCAAGAAAGTCTTTTTAAAATTGCAGATTCAGCAGCGGTGGAGCCTATTAATTCTAGCTTCAAAAAGTTTTAAGTGGAGCTGTGGCTCAAGTTAGAGTATCAGACGAGCAAAAAAGCTAAGGGGCTGCTGGGTACTGGTGGCTCAGGCCTTGTAATCCTAGTTACTTAGGAGACTGAAATCTGAAGATTATGGTTTGAAGCCAGTCTGGGGAGGAAAATTTGCAAATCTCCAATAAGCTACTCAAAAAAGCCAGAAGTAGCACCGTGGCTCAAGTGGTAGAGCACTTAGCCTTGAGCAAAAGGAGCTCAGGGACAGAGACCAGGGACTGGGAAAACAAAACAAACAAAAAGCTAAGGGGTTCAGTACTGGCTCCCTTCTCTCCCCCAAAAAAACAAAATGAAACACCACCTGCAGATTACCTAGGCCAGTAAGAACCTCTTTGGCATAATGTTAGCATCATATCTGTGGAGCAAGTTATTTTTCCAGCTGGTTGCCAGTGACTCATGCCTGTAATCCTAGCTACTCAGGAAGCTGAGATCTGAGGATCCCAGTTCAAAGCCAGCGGGGGCAAGAAAGTCCATGAGACTCTAATCTCCAATACACCACTAGAAAACTGAAGTGGCACTGGCTCAAGTGGTAGAGCACTAGCCTTGAGCTGAAGAGTTCAGGGACAGTGCCCAGGCCCAGCGTTCTAGCCCCACCACCGCCAAAAAGAAAGAAAAATGTTATTTTTCCCCTTCATAAGGCTAGGCTCCAAAATATCAAAATCAAGAGTTGTACATCTTTGTGCTACCCTACAACTGAATGCTTTTGCATATGTGTTGTTAGAAAAACCATTTATGGTATACTACTAGCCTATGAACAGAATAGCAAACCCATGTCTTTGGCTTTTCTTTCTTTTTTTTGAAGCACAATTACTTTATTGATTTCTTACAATCAAATATTGCCAACTTTACTCATGCATCATTAAACACAAAGGATATCTCCTTGGTATTTCCTTTTTTTAATTTTAATTTTTTTTATTGTGAAAATACAGTACAAAGGGGTTACAATTACATGGGCAAGCTCCTTGGTATTTTCAAATGATGCATTATATAATGTTAGAAATTAAAATGCACTGATTAATTACGTAAACTGGCAATTTTCTTTAAAAAGCATAACTAAAATTTGGTTCCTTCATAAAATGGAAATTTAAATATTTTTCCTGGTAGTCTTGAGGTTATCATCATGTTATGAGTAGTGCACAGTATGAAACATGGCATATATAGTTTAAACAGACTGTGTATAGCAGAATGCATAGTCACTGCATGATAGAAAGCATGTTTCAGGGGGCTGGGAAGGTGGCTCAGTGGTAGAGCGCTTGCCTTGCATGCTCGAGGCTCTGGGTTCGATTCCGCAGCACCACATAAGCAAAAAGAAAAAAGCCGGAAGTGACGCTGTGGCTCAAGTGGTAGAGCGCTAGCCTTGAGCTGAAGAGCTGAGGGACAGCGCCCAGGCCCAGAGTTCAGGCCCCACGACCGGACCCCCCCCCCCCCCAAAAAAAAAGAAAGCATGTTTCAGATACAAGGCAGCCCCTCAGGCTACCCTATTACTTAGGGTTTGCATTATCATTTATGACATTACAGATTATGTGTGACATACTGTTTTTATACATTTAATACTGAAGCTAACAAAAATTCTTATTCTAGGTAGCCATTTGGTTTGTATCAGGAGAAAACAAACCTCCAAAAGTTTAGTGCCTGCCAAGTTGGAATCATTAGCTCAAGTCAGTGAATCAGGTATGCGACACACTTCGCAGTGACTGTTTTCAAGTCCTGGCAAGCCTCTTCTCCCAGGTTGTGCCAGATGATGACATATTTCCAGGATTACCCTCAGGTGTGGTTTTCCCTTTTTATTCGTGTCTGGAGTGACTGATCTGTTACTGAATAATTTCCTTTTCTGACCTCTCTAATGGCTTTCATTTTAATTAATCATAAGTCCTTTCAGAATATCTTCAGAGAGCTCCATCGGTGGAAGTTCTGGAGACGGAAAATCCAAGGGAGGAAGACTGGGTATTGGAATGTTCTTGTCTTTCCCGGTATTTGCCACAAACCTGCCAAGTTGACCAGGCTGTGGCTGTTCTCTGCCTGTGGTGGCAAGCTCCCCAACTCAAGACTTTTCTACAAAGTCAGCATCGACGTCCAGCTCCTCGTCTACTGGACCTTTCAGTAGTCTGGCCTTTTCTGCTTTTAGTTGTTTTCTTTATCTTTCATTCTCAGCCACAAGCAACTCCACGTGCCTCTTCAGTTCTGCAGCTGTGGTTGCCTGCTCCTCTAGCATGGTTTTGGGCACCTTTTGGGGGCTTGGCTTCCAACGCAAGGCTCTGTGGGTTCACTCTTTTGCTGAAGTAAAAACGGTCGTGTGTCTGGGTCTGGGTCAAAGACCCCCATCAGTTTCAGGAAGGCGTGTCTGCACAGAAGGGCTGTCCTGGTGAGAAAAGAGGGGGCCTCTGGCCCTGTGCAGCCCAGGGGTCCGGAGATGCCCGAGGATGGGTAGCCACGTCTGTGTGCTGCTGAGCTTCCCACCTCTCCCGGATGAGGAGGAGCCGTTTCACCTGGCGATCCCTCGGCGATTCCAGCGATACAAGGGCCCGCAGCCCTTTTGTGATCAGAAATGGCCTCTTGGTATTTCCCCCCGAAACCAATAATAACGGTTTGCTCGTCTGCTCCGTCGATGAGCCAGGTTGAGGGGGTCCTTCCATAGACCCCCGGGGTAAGCGGCGGGCCTGAGGGAGGGTAGCAGCGGCGCCGAGAACACACGCAGGGGAGCTGGAGGCGACGCGGCGGCGTGGACCAGGACTCCACTCCGCGCCCGGCGATGGGCGTAGTGGGAACAACTTCCTCCTCCTCCTTCGACGCCTGGCGGCAGACACGCCCCCCCTGCGCCGCCGCCGCCACGCACGGCGTCGTGACGTCACGCCCGCCCGCGGGCTGGTTCCAGGTGGGGAACGTGAAGACGAGAAGTGGGCGGGGCTCCGAGAAGGCGAGGCCGGCGGCTGACTGCGGCGGGAGCGCGCTCAAGCCTTTCCTCTCGCGAGAGGTAGAGCTCTAGCACTCACTCCCTGGTCACGCGATGGGGGGGTGTGACTTTTCAAACTGGAGTACATCTGGCAGGACAGCACCTTCCCGGGCTCTTTCCTTCCAGCTCTCCCCAAACACTCACAATAACAGCTCGGTATCTCTTTACATATAAAATGTCCAGCTGGAGACTCTGGCCGGGACACAGATGACCTTTTCTGGGGTCAGAAGCCCGGCCTACTGCCTGTGGATTAAAGAGCCGGTTGGGTTGGGGTGTATGTGTGTGGGTAGCTGGAAGAACCCCGCTCTTGGTATTTCGGTGTTTGGGATCAAGTGTACCCCGCCTGCAGTCCCCGAAGGCCTCCGTAGGTGACCTGCCCCGGGGTCAGAGGTCGGCTCTCGCCGGGCCGGCCCCATGTGTCACCTGCTATTGGCCAGGACCGTTTCTAGATCTCTCAGGCGGACGCGGGGCCTCGAACGGGGCGGAGGGCGGGAGGGGGAAGCGCCAGGAACCCAACAGCCCTGCCGACCCGGGGCGGAAGGCCGCAGCGCGAGGCCGGGGATGTGGCGGGGCGTGGGGAGGGGGGGGGGGTCGTGGTTCCCCGCAAGGTTCGGATGAAGACCTCGAAAATGGCCTCGGGGCATGCGCCACTGCGGCCGTTGAGACCCCCAAAACCGACGCGTTTGGAGTCCGGAGCCTGGAGGGATGGGTCCTGCGCAGGGCGGCGGCGTCGGGCCGGATCGGGCCGGAGACTGAGCGCACCCGGCGGCGGGGCCGCGCAGGGGTGGCGGCGGGCGGGTAACGTCACGTGACCGCGCCGCACGGGGCGCCGGGGGCGGGGCCTTGGAGTTAAATTGGGGGCGGCGGCCGCGGCCTGGGCGCTTCCCCCCCTGCCGCCTGCCCGCTGCAGGGCTTCGCACCTCGGGCTGGCCTCCGACTGGGAAGGTAAGAGTTGCGACCCGGGACGCTTCCTAAAGATGGCCCGTGTGCTCTTTCTCTTCATCGCCAGGAGGGAATTGCCTTAAGAGCTGGTAGCTGGACCTGGGGCTCGAACTCGAGGCTCAGTGGGAGTGGACAGTAGATGGGGGGGATCTGTGCATTCGAGGATTCACCATGTAAAAGCTCGGAGGGAACTGGATCCGTGTTGCAGCGTCCTTAGTTTCTGAAAGGCTTCCTCTCCCACACTTCCCCGTTCCCCCCTCAAAGTTTCCATCTTGAAAAAGTTCCTGGGAGCCATGTGGATGAGGTTGATTGAGTATACCTAAGCAGTGAAAACAGGCAGGACTCTGAAGTTGGTTACCACGTTGAAACAATAGTAAAAGGAGGGAATGTTGATTTAGGAGATGAACCTGTCTGCTCAAACAAATCCTGTGTTTCATGGTAAAACTTGAGGAGGGGAAAGAGCTCAGTCTCTTTTCCATCTTGTCTGGCCGTCCTTTCCAGACATCTTATAAAAATGAATATTTGATAATTACAGCTCAGTGGCTGCCGATTGTCTTATACAGAGTTTGAAGGATATATCTGCGTTTTGTCTCAACCCCAACTTGGAAACAATGGAAATGGAAGAAAAGAACATTCTGGTAAATGCTACCATTCATATCCTCTTATAATGACTAGGAGTTATTACAGTGGTGTACTGTGAGGAGATTACAAAAAAAATCTACAACATTTAGGAGGATGTTGAACTAAAAGAGGTGACACATGCAGGGAATATCCACATTGGGTGTTTTCAAAGTAATGTAGAGTTACTTCCCCCTCCCCCCAAAAAAAACACAGTTTGGGATGAATGTGCAAATGTGTGTGTTGGTACTGGGGTTTGAACTCAGAGCCTCAAGTTCTTGCTTAGTTTTTCCACTCTACCACTTGAGAGCCACAGCCCCACAGCTTTTTGTTTACCTGGGCTGGCTTTGAATCATCAGCCTCAGATTTCAGCCTTCTGAGTAGCTGGGATTACAGGTGTGAGCCACTAGCATCCAGTTTACCTAGAGATTTTTAAATGTGGAGTGTGTTTAAGGAGGTCTTGATTGATGCCGAAGAATTTTTATTTGTATAAAGTTTCCAGGTGAAGATGCCACTGGTTTGGGACCCGCACTTGAGAAACCCAAGCTGTAGATCCTTGCTGTTCAGTAGGCATCAATTTTATTTAAAAATAGCCATCGGGCTGGAAGTATAGCTCATTGGTGGAGTGTTTGCCTAGCATGCACGAGGCTCTGTGATGGATTACCAGCACAGAAAAAGAGTTGCATGTATGGAATGTGTTTGTACTGCTGTGGACCACATGCAAGGCAAGACCTCTACCTTGAAGCTATATCCCCAACCCTGCATGTGTCTTATTTTTATTGAACAGTTACTCTAGCTATCAAGGACCTTTTAGTCTACTCCTTTATTATAATATGGATATATATAGATTAGCCTTATAAATCCTCCTTTTTGGGAGAGAGTCTATTGAAGGAAAGATTAACATTATTTAATTTAGGACTATTGCAAGAGCATGGCTGAAGGGCTTTTCAACCTAGATGCATACAGCAAAGGCAGCTGCGTCTTTGAATCCAAGGGGTAAAATGTGGAGCATAGTGTGAGTGGCTAGATGGTTACGAGGAAGCATTAAGGCTAGTAAGGTTCTTGTCATTAATATTTACTAGGAATCCTGCTGAAGGCCATGAGTTTGGACATCAGCGGTAGGCAATAAACAATTTGATTAGTAGAACTCCTCCATTGCTTTCTTCATGCTCTCCTTTTACTTTCAAATAAACTTACTTTGATTTTTTGATTAGATCATGAAAGTGATCATAAATCAAATAATAGCAAGATTTGTTGTGAGCTGATTAGTTGAATTCTTGCTAAAACTGTGCTATGCAGGTCAGAGACTAGACTGAGATTATTAACATGCCTGGTAGAGGCTCAGAGGAGGTGACCAAAGTTTGGTGGACTCTTAATTAGTAAAATATTTTCTAGCTCCCTGTCTATCCAGACCATAGGCTTTGGCAGTTCAGTCTATAAAAGCCCATCCCTTTAGTGGCTTCTAATGGTTGGTTTTAAATAGATTTATGGGTGATGTTCCTTTCCATGGAAACTAAGGTGTAAGGACTGTGGAGGAAGTGCACTGCTGCCTAATGATTTTTTTTAATGCTTTCAGTGCAATAGTGTGGTGGCTCATAATTTTGAAGAAGTTTGCCCAGAGAAGGTAATAAAGTTTAAACCTCCACTATACAAGCAGCGATACCAGTTTGTTAGAGATTTAGTGGATCGTCATAGACCCAAGAAGGTAGGTATCTTGATTTCCAAACATTTAAGTACTAAGTCGATCCTATCAAGTGTTTGTCAACACTAGTAAGGAGTAAAGTGAAATTCTTTTCTTCTTTCTTTCCTTGTGCTGGAGATTCAACTCAGGGCTTTGGCATGTTAGACAAGGGCTGAACCACTGAGTTACAACCCCAGTCCAAAGAGAGACTTTAGATACAAGGTCTGGTTCTGTTGTGTAGGCTAGTTCCAAACTCTTGGGCTCAAGTGATTCTACTGCTTCAGCTTCCTAAGTTCAGACAGGTATGCCCACCAGGAAAGCAAGCCGTGACCAAAATCTCTAGATGTCTTGTGTTAAGCATAGTAGCCATGAGTTCAGCTAAATTATGAGGAGTGTGTGTGTGTGTGTGTGTGTGTGTGTGTGTGTGTATGTGTATGTGTGTGTCTTGTCCTGGGGCTTGAACTCAGGACCAACCTGGGCATTAGCCCTTCAGCTAAATTATGAGGAGGGTGTGTGTGTGTGTGTGTGTGTGTGTGTGTGTGTGTGTGTGTGTGTGTGTGTGTGTGTGTGTGTGTGTGTGTGTGTGTGTGTGTGTGTGTGTGTGTGTGTGTGTGTGTGTGTGTGTGTGTGTGTGTGTGTGTGTGTGTGTGTGTCTTGTCCTGGGGCTTGAACTCAGGACCAACCTGGGCATTAGCCCTTCAGCTAAATTATGAGGAGGGTGTGTGTGTGTGTGTGTGTGTGTGTGTGTGTGTGTGTGTGTGTGTGTGTGTGTGTGTGTGTGTGTGTGTGTGTGTGTGTGTGTGTGTGTGTGTGTGTGTGTGTGTGTCTTGTCCTGGGGCTTGAACTCAGGACCAACCTGGGCATTAGCCCTTCAGCTAAATTATGAGGAGGGTGTGTGTGTGTGTGTGTGTGTGTGTGTCTTGTCCTGGGGCTTGAACTCAGGACCAACCTGGGCATTAGCCCTGAACATTTTTGCTCAAGGCTACTGTTCTACCACTTGAGCTACAGCCTCCATTCTGGATTTTTTGGTGCTTAATTGTAGATAAGAGTCTCACGGACTTGCCTGCCTAGGCTCAGATCTGCCTTCTCAGATCTCAGCCTCCTGAGTAGCTAGGATTACAAATGTGAGCCACCAGCAGCTGGTGATTTTTTTTTTTTTTTTTTTTTGGAGATAGGGTCTGACTATGTTGTCTAGGCTGCTCTTGAACTCTGGGCTCAAGGGACTGTGCTTCATCCTCTTGAGGAAGTAGGACTACAGGCATATGGAGGATTCTTGTAGAGAGACTGTATTTGCTCCTGCTCAGGACAGGTCATAGCAGAGAGGCATAGAACAAGGAAGAGTCATTAAGGGAAAGTGTGGTTAAGGGAATTTTGTTTCCATTCTTCAGAAGCAACAGATAGAGTGGAAACATCATCATATTTGGCTTATGGAGGCTGGTATTCCTTGCAGAGTTCCTTTCTCAGAACATAAAGCCTAGCAGATCCTTTAATCTCTTACCAGGAGCACAGGGATCAGGTGGAGGTCAACATTGCCACGCTTAAATGGGAAGAGAATCTTAATTGGATGTGATTGATCTTGTAGAGTCCACATTTTTGGAGTTAGTCAGAGCATCAAACTGGTATTGTGGCCACAGGTGTTGCGATTCTTTGTAAATTGGGTAAGTGGGCCAAGATGGCCCACACTTGTAGTCATAGCCATTTGGGAGGCTGAGGCAAGTGGATTGGTTAAGCCTAGGAGTTTGTGACTAGTCTGGACAACACATGAAACAGAAAAAGGAACAAGCTTTGATAATGGCTTAACAGGTCTGCTCTTCAACTTCTGAGGAAAGTCATGATTTCGTACATAGATGAACATATATACCTGGTTAGTATCCTCATGGATTTGCTATTCTAGCTGTAAACTAGATGTTGGTAAGATGAACTTCTAGGTTTCTTTTTCTTCCCTGTGTTAAACTCAAGTAAGATTCTTCAGTATGTGTGGGCTTCCCTTTTTTTTTTTTTAAACTGCACTGTGTCTGTCTCTGCACATGGGCGCAAAGATGCAGATGTTGAAGTCTGTGCCATTATGCACATTTGTACTCAAAGCATCTCAAATGGTCTTTTTAGCTGTTTGGAGATTAATTGAGAATGACATGTGGCTTGCTGTGATTGTTTTATCAAAACAATTAATGAGGCTCTGTGAAAACTTTGTGAAACTTTGTGTGGTAAGAGCATTTCTTGCTGAAACATACCAAGAATGTTTAAGACTCCAAATTCTGATTCTATGTGAACATGTCCCCATCTTTCTCCCTTTTTCATTCATCCAATAGATATCAGTTATTTGGGAATAGGAACTTCTTTTATTTTCACCATTGCCACTTACGTATACTCAGGTGTATAAAGTCTCAGATTAATTTGCTTTTTGTGTACAATATACTACCCAAAAGACTGTTCTATACAATAATTTTATTGTGGTTTACTACTGTTACACAATCTCCCCCCTCCCCAGTATTGTTGTCCATACTTCTGTGGCTACAAATGTCTTTGAAATGATATTCTGTCTCATCTACAGGTTGCAGACCTGGGATGTGGTGATACTGAGCTCCTAAGGCTGCTAAAAATCTACCCATGCATTCAACTGCTTGTTGGGGTAGATATCGATGTGGAAAAATTACAGTCTAATGGGTAATACTTAGTGATATGATGGGGATGTGGTTTGTTTTCCAAGAGCATTGGTTTTGAGTGTGGTTGCTAAAGTGGCGGCGGCGGCAGTGGTGGTGGTGGTGGGTTTATAAAACAAGTCTACTTCAGGTGTGCTTGGCTCCTTCATTCCACTACTTCCCTTTCCACTTTCCACTTCTCTAATATATCACATTTTCACAGATTATTTTTTTCCCCTAAAGAACACAAAGCCGAACATTATTGGTACAAAGAGAGCTGGAAGACTAAATATTCAAATGAGAACAAAAGCTGATATTCAGAATCTTGTTCTCCTTGGCCAGTAACTTCCTGCTATTAGAGGAAGTTACCCTAGGACCTACTGTTTAGTTTGTGAAGATGAGGTAAACAGCGAAGGCTGATTTACATCACTGTAGGTAGAAAGTTCTGAGTTACATAGCTAGTGAGAATTTCCTTTTCTTTTTCTTTTTTTACTTTTTGTCATTCCTGGGGATTGAATCAAGACCTGGGCACTGTCCAGGAGATTTTGTTGCTCAAGGCTAGCCACTTGAGCTACAGCTCCATTTCCAGATTTTTGGGTGCTTAGTTGGAGATTAGGAGGCTCATAGACTTTTCTGCCTGGGCTGGCTTTGAACCTTGATCCTCAGATCTCAGCCTCCTGAGTAACTAGGATTACAGGGTTGAGTCACCAATGCTCAGCTTCTTTTTATTTTTATAGGGCTAGGGATCAAACCCAGGGTCCCATATGCTAGGTAAACACTGTTCCATGGAGCCACCCCCAGTGTGAGAACTTCTAAATAACTTTTGTGTTGAGAATGTTTCTTACTTTTGCAATCATTTTTTTTTCCAGACATCATTTATCTCCTTATTTGGGAGAATTTGTAAAACCCCGGGATCTGGATTTGACTGTTACCTTATATCATGGATCTGTTGTAGAGAGAGACTCTCGTTTGCTTGGATTTGACTTGATAACATGCATCGAATTGTAAGTTTTAAACTCTAGTAACAACAAGGGAGAATTAGCTTCAATAATGTTAGTACCCTAAGTGTTTAGGTCACTGCAAAGGGTATCCAGGTCCTTCCCCGGGCATCCCATTGGGCGTATATAATGCTTGCCTGTCTCTTCAATGCTAATTTTGATCTTCCCAGTCATGGTGTGTGTTTGCTCTTGTGTATTATTGCTGGTTTGATTTTCCACACCATGAGCAGGCAATCTGGGCAGAGGCTTACTGAGTCCATGTAGATATTTTGTTCCTCATCTATATTTACCTAGATTTAGCATCAACAGTGCTTCTTGTCTGACTTGTCTTTATTAAAATGGTGGCAAGTGGCTGGGAAGGTGGCTCAGTGGTAGAGTGCTTGCCTTGCATACATGAGGCCCCAGGTTCGATTCCGCAGCACCACATAAGCAGAAAAAGCTGGAAGTGGTGCTGTGGCTCAAGTGGTAGAGCGCTAGCCTTGAGCTGAAGAGCTGAGGGACAGTGCCCAGGCCCAGAGTTCAGGCCCCACAGCCGGCAAAAATAAATAAATAAAATTAAAAAATAAAATGGTGGCAAATGTGTTCTGCAACTCCAGTTTTCCTTCTACATTTATATATTATCCCTGGCATTTTACTATGCATAACAGTTCTCCCATAAGTGGAACTCATGAATTCCTTTATTATCCTCTTGCGGTAGTCATCTTCCTGCCCCTCCTGCTGGGATTATAGATATGTGCTATTATAACTTGATAGGCATGCCCCCAGATAACACACACACACACACACACACACACACACACACATTCTCACACTTAAATGGTTTGTGATTTATTACTGCATTTATTTTCTTGTTCATTATCTCAGGATTTCTCACCGAGGAGGCCTATCAAATTGATGTCTTTGTGATATGTCTTATTTGTAAGCACTTTTTTCTGACATTACAAAATGTTCTAGGCTCCTCTCCCACCATTCCTTCCTCAACCCTGGAATGAACTGTTCTACAAAGGAGTTGTGTACTTTATATGGGACTAGTGTTTACAAAAAGGTTTATGCTTCACGCTCACCTTTTTTTTATGCCAGTCCTTGGGCATGATCTCAGGGCCTGGGCACACAGTTTTCTTTCTTTTTTTTCATGGGGCTAATTGGAGATAAGAGATTCACAGACCTTTCTGCTCAGGCTGGCTTTGAATCGATCTTCAGATCTCAGCCTCCTTAGTAGCTAGAATTACAGATGTGAGCCACTGGCGCCTGGCTTAATACCATCTTTTAATATTAATAGGCTTACTTTGAGATTGGTTTGCTTACTGGTGTATTCAGGTTGATTTCTAATGCTCAGTAATGGAACTGTTCCTCCTGAGTAGAAAGTTTACCCCCCCTGTCCCCCACTCCTTTTTGGTTGCCTGGCATATTTTAGGCACCTAATTAATGTTCGATATTAGTTACAGGAAACTTAGGAAGATCAAAGGAACAGTGAATAAGAATGGCACTGAGCTGGTGGTGTGGCTTAAATGGTAGAGTTCCTGTTTGTAACAAGTATGAGGATCTTAGTAATCTCCCCCCCTCTCCCCCCCCCCCCCCTCAAAAGGCAACTAGTATTTTGGTTTTACCATTTACCCATAAGTATATCAATTTTTCAAAAATCAGTGCTGAAGATTGAACTTATGGTTTATATATGTTAAGCTCTTTCCTGAGCGTATTACTAATCCCAGCTCCTCCTATTTTCTAATGTATCATGAAGCAGCCACTTATTGTAGCAGAATTATGTTATGCGCTGGCCACATGTATTAAACTTCTCCTTGCTGCGACAAATACCAAGAGATAATTTAAAGGAGAAAAGATTTATTTTGGCTCTCGAATTCAGGAATTTCGTTTCATAGCCAGCTTGCTCTATTGCTGTGGGCCGGTGGCAAGGCAGAACATCATCGCAGAGAGAGTTACTTCATGGTGGCCAGGAAGAAGAGAGGGACAGAAGGAGCCAGGGCCAATCTGCCTCTCCAGAATACAACTCTTACTGACCTCCTTCCTCCAAAATAGGCCTCACCTTGTAAAGTTTCTGAAATAGTGCCACCTGCTGGAGTCTTGTGTCTCAACATAGGAGCCTGTGGGGGACATTTCACAGGGAACTATAATACCTTAAGTTTCAGTGTATAGAATTGTGTAGAGAGTGCAAAGAAGCCAAGCAGGGCAAGAGGATTCAAGAGAATCAGAGCTATGGCTGCTGGGAGAGGGTTAGGCTGAGAAGAGTAACAGCTCATCAGTTCATCTAAATTTAGTGCTGCTTCCTGTATCTGGTTGAAAGGTTGTGATACAATCTTTCTGTGAAGCTCATCACAGTCCTGAGAATCAGGGGCCGCTGTGCCGATAAGGGTGTCCTTGTCTCAGAAGGAGATTGGCTCATTACGTTATTCATGTTATTCATGTATGTTATTCTACATAGCTCTTGGTTTCCCTGGAAATTCGTTTGAAGCTTGAGCTCTTTATAGCAGTTTTGTCAGTGTCTAAGACTTGTGTGTTTTCTTTTTTTTTTTTCTTATTTCTTTTGGTTGGTCATGGGGCCTGAACTCTGGGCCTGGGTGCTGTCCCTCTTGAGCTCTTCAGTTCAAGACTAGCACTCTAAAGCCGGGCGCTGGTGGCTCACGCCTGTAATCCTAGCTACTCAGGAGGCTGAGATCTGAGGATCGCGGTTCAAAGCCAGCCCGGGCAGGAAAGACCGTGAGACTCCTATCTCCAATAAACTACCAGAAAACCGGAAGTGGCGCTGTAGCTCAAGTGGTAGAGCGCTCGCCTTGAGCTGAAGAGCTGAGGGACAGCGCCCAGGCCCAGAGTTCAAGCCCCACGACCGACAGAAAAAAAAAAAAAGACTAGCACTCTACCACTTGAGCCACACCGCCACTTCTGGCTTTTTCTGCTTATGTGATGCTGAGGAATTGAACCCAGAGCTTCATGCCTGCTAGGCAAACACTCTACCGCTGAGCCACCTTCCCAACCCGGGTTTCCTTTTTGTTGGTGGTGTTGTTTGCTTGCTTGCTTGTTTTGCTTTTGTTTTAGGGCACATTGATTAGATAGAATATCAGTATTTTTTTCAGATTCTTTTTCTGCTAATGTTTCTAATAACAAAGTTATAGCAGTTGCAGAATTGGTACAAGGAACTCTCCTGTCCATCACCCAGATTCACTGATTGCCTACCTTTGATCACATTTATTTAAGTCTTGTCTTCATTTCCTATGTGTATTTTTCTTTTGAATAATTTGAAAGTAAGTTGGAGACACTGTTTTCTTTTTTTTTTTAACCTCTACCTATGTGTGCTGAACACATTTTTCCAATAAAAAATGCCTTCCCTTCCATAACCATAATATCCTTTATGAAGGAATTTAACAGTGACATATTTTTACTATATTACTAGCTAATGTATAGTCCATACTAAAAATTCATCACTTGTTCCAGTAATATTTTTCTATAGTTATTTTAAAAATTTAATGATAGTTTAGACCAGTCCAGGATCACACAATGTTCTTAGTTACTATGTCTGTTGGGTATCTGTTCTTTAATCTGAACAGGTCTTCTCAGTATGCTTCATTTGCCATTTCACCCTTTTTTCCCTAGCGCTGTAGCCCTAGTCCATCCTCTATTTCTTTCTTTTTTTTTTTTTTGGTTGGCCGTGGGGCTTGAACTCGGCCTGGGCGCTGTCCCTCAGCTCTTCAGCTCAAGGCGAACGCTCTACCACTTGAGCTACAGAGCCACTTCCAGTTTTCTGGTGGTTTATTGGAAATAGGAGTCTCATGGTCTCTCCTGCCCGGGCTGGCTTTGAACCGTGATCCTCAGATCTCAGCCTCCTGAGTAGCTAGGATTACAGGCGTGAGCCACCAGCGCCCGGCTCATCCTCTATTTCTTTAAAAAATTTTTATTGTAAAGGTGATGTACAGAGGGATTACAGTTAGATAAGTCAGGTAATGAGTATATATTTTTTCCTGAACAATCTCACCCCCTCCCTCATTTTCTCCCAGTCCTCCCCCACTTACCCCTTGCCCCCCCCCCCACCCCCCCCCCCCCCCCCCGCCCTGTAGTTGTATAGTTCATTTCCAGTATAGGGTCTAGCAAGTATTACTGCTGAATTAGTTCACCCTTTGTCCCACCATTTCTACGCTTCCCCTTCCCCCATCCTTTATTTCTGAAGAGTACATGCTAATTATTTTGTAGAAGGTCTCTCCATCTGGGTCTATTACTTCATTACTAGATTGAGCGCTTGCACATTCATGTATTCATTTATTTTTTGAAATGGTATTGGGGCTTAAACTCAGCCCCTTATCTCTTTTGCTCAAGGATGGTGCTCTACCACTTGAGCCACAGCTCTACCTTTGGCATTTTGGTAGTTAATTGGATATGAGACTCATAGACTTTCCTGCCTGGGCTGGCTTCCATGATTCTCGAATCTCAGCCTCTTGAATAGCTAGGATTACAGATGTGAACCACTGGTGCCCAACTTTATTTATTTTTGGTGTTGAGGATTGAACACATTGCTCTGGGCTTGTGTAGCACATGTTCTACCACCCTGCACTCCAGGGAGTGCATTTTTTTTTTGTTGGTCCTGGGGCCTGAACTCTGGGCCTGGGCACTGTCCCTCAGCTCTTCCCTCAGCTCTTCTGCTCAAGGCTAGCGCTCTACCACATGAGCCACAGCACCACTTCTGGCCTTTTCTACTTATGTGGTACTGAGGAATCGAACCCAGGGCCTCATGCATGTGAGGCAAGCACTCTACCACTGAGCCACCTTCCCAGCCCAAGGGAGTGTATTTTTTCTGAAAATACTATAGTCCAATGTTTTTTCTTGGTACATTTTACCAAGGAGGTCAAGCTCAGATACCTTTTTGAGGAGTTTTTGACAATGAGTTCTTTAGAGCACAGCAAAGGACCTTAGTGTTGGCTAAGAGAGTACTGAGGGAAGAGTTGAGGGTGGGCAGGCAAGGATTAGAATATGTAGAAAAGTATATATAATTGCGGTGGCTCATGGCAGTAGTATATTCAAAGAAGGGAGAAATCAACATGAGATAGGAATTATTTTTGCTAAATCGAGTAGGAATTGATTAGGAATTTGCTAAATTATTTACTTTCAAGTGAAGCTACAATTATTATATTTTCCCCTATTAACCATTTTAGAATAGAACATTTGGATTCAGATGACCTGGCCAGATTTCCTGAAGTGGTATTTGGATACCTGTCACCAGCCATGATTGTCATCAGCACACCAAACTCTGAATTCAACCCCCTGTTTCCTACAGTGACCCTGAGAGATGCGGATCATAAATTTGAGTGGAGTAGAGTGGAGTTTCAGACCTGGTTCGTTCCCAAGGGTTTTGTTTGTTTGTTGGGAATCCTTCTGGAGTTTAAAGCTTAAACAGTAAACCTTAATCCTTATATCTTACCTAAATTATTTCTTCCTTGAGTAGAATTCCAGGTAAAGAGATCCACAAGGGAACCACCACACTTGGGCAGCTGTGGAAAGGGTGTGAGGGCTGCCAGGTACTGTTTGGGTTGAAGGCATCTGTAGCTTTGGGGTTGGGATGAGATGTAAAATGAGGAAGGCTGTGAGGTGAGCCTCAGACCAAGGGTGGCTCCTTGGGTTTGCTCCCATTTCCTCCTCATCTACCCCTCTCTTTCTCTGCCTGCCCCTTAATTTTGCCTTTTCCATACTCTTGTGGTAACTTGGAAACTGGTACTATGTTACTGCCTCTGCTTCTCACAGAAGCCAGGCAATCCTTGCTGTTGTTGCTGCATTATATAGTGGTCTAAGAATGTGTAACTTAGATTTTTTGAGGGGGGGGTCTGTCGTGGGGCTTGAACTCTGGGCCTAAGTGCTGTCACTCAGCTGTTCAGCTCAAGGCGAGGGCTCTACACTTGAGCCACAGTGCCACTTCTGGTGGTTTATTGGAGATAAGAGTCTCACTCCTGCCCAGGCTGGCTCTGAACCACAGTCCTCAGATTTCAGCCTCCTGAGTAGCCCACTGGCACCTGGCACTTAGAAGATTTTTGTTATGTTTTTGACACATTTATTAATGTAGTTTTTATGTGTCAATTTTGGGGCTTAAACTCAGGATCTGAGCGCTATCCCTTAGCTTTTTTTTTTTTTTTTTAACTGAAGGCTGGCATTCTACCACTTGGAGTCACAGCTCCACTTCTGGATTTTTGCTGGCTAATTGGAGATAAGAGTTGTATGGACATTCTGGCCCAGGCTGACTTTGTACCAAGGTGCTTAGATCTTAGCCTCTGAGTAGCCAGGATGACAGGTGTGAGCCACCAGTGTTTGGCTTTTGTTTTCTTAAGACTGGATCTTGCTGCGTAGCCCAGACTGTCCTTGAACTCAATCCCTGATCCTTCTGCCTAATCCTCCCTCGTGCTTAGATTACAGATGTGTACCACCACAGCTGGATTAGAATTGTTATTATCTTTTCTGTGTTTTCTACTGTGATTGGACTTTATTTAATGCTTGTTTAGTTACTTAAAACTAGTTCTTTGTTGAGACTCTTTTTTCCTTATTATTTTGTTTCAGGGCTTTACAAGTGGCAAATTGCTATAACTACTCTGTGGAGTTCACTGGGGTAGGGGAGCCTCCAGTGGGAGCTGAGCATGTTGGGTACTGTACCCAGATAGGCGTCTTCCGGAAAACCAGTGGGAAGGCTCTAGAATCCTGTGCTTCAGAGCAGCACGACCAGCATGTTTATAAAGCTGTGAGTATTAAGCATTCTTTGTGAGGAGGAACTCCTTGCAAGTACATTGGTTGGATGGTGAATTTTTTTTTTTTTTTTTTTTTTTTTTTTGGGGTCCGGTCATTGGGCCTGAACTCTGGGCCTGGGCGCTGTCCCTCAGCTCTTCAGCTCAAGGCTAGTGCTCTACCACTTGAGCCACAGTGCCACTTCCGGTTTTTTTCTTTTTGCTTATGTGGTGCTGGGAATCGAACCCAGGGCCTCAGGCATGCAAGGCAAGCGCTCTACCACTGAGCCACCTTCCCAGCCCGGGATGGTGAATTTTTAAAAATTTGGTGAAAATCTCCAAGATGAATGTCAGTGTTCTTAGTCTTGAAAGATCCTGAAGGCTATGACTAGAGTTGATCTATTGTTGGTCTATGTTGGTTTCTATCCCTAGAGACTTCCTGGCATCTTGGGTGGTTTATTTTTTGGGTGTGGGGGAATCAGTCATGGGGCTTGAACTCAGGACCTGGGCACTGTCCCTGAGCTCTTTCACTCAAGGCTAGTGTTCTACCATTTTGAGCCACAGCTCCACTTCTGGCTTTTGAGTCACTAATTGGAGATAAGAGTTTCACGGGGACTTTTCTGCCTGGGCTGCCTTTGAACTGCAATCTTCAGACCTTAGCCTCTTAGCCTCCTAAGTAGTTAGGCTTACTGGCATGAGGCACTGGGACTTGGCTTCATCTTTTTAATGGTATTGGATTTGAGTGCTAGGTCTTAATACTTGGTAGGCAGGTGCTCTACTACTGGAGCCATGCCTCCAATCCTTTTTGCTCTGAGTAGTTTTAAGGTAGGTTCTTTCTTTTTCCCAAGGCCAACCTGGATCGCAATGTTTATGCTCCTACCATAGTTATCTCAACTACGCTATCTGACAGACCTGCACCACTGTGCCCAGGTTTTTGTGTTGAGATGGCATTTTGTGGACTTTTTGCCTAAGCTGACTTCAATTGCAGTCTTTCTAATCTCAGCCTTCAGAGTAACCAAGATTATAGGTGTGTGCCACTGTGTCTTCTTGGAATTTCTCAAGGCATTTTTTTTTTGGGGGGGGGGGTCTGGTCACTGGGGCCTGAACTCTGGGCCTGGGCGCTATCCCTCAGCTCTTCAGCTCAAGGCTCTACCACTTGAGCCACAGCACCACTTCTGACTTTTTTCTTTTTTTGCTTATGTGGTGCTGAGGAATTGAACCCAGGGCCTCATGCATGCAAGGCAAGTGCTCTACCACTGAGCCACCTTCCCAGCCCTTTTTTTTTAAAGATTTATTTTTATTTTTTTTTACTTTTGGTCGGTCGTGTGCCTTGAACTCTGGGCCTGAGCGCTGTCCCTCAGCTCTTCAGCTCAAGGCTAGTGCTCTACCACTTGAGCTACAGTGCCACTTCTTCTCAAGGCATTTTATGAGGAACAGTGTCTGTTAGAGGTATTCTTAGAGTATTTCAAAGCAATACTTAAGCAGCCTCATTTGTAAAGAGAAAACCAGCAACTTCTTCTCCCCTGATAGATTCAAGAAATGACTATTAGAACTGAGCTCTGGGCTGGGAACATAGCATTGTAGAACAGCCCTCACCTACCACTCACAAGGACCTGGGTTCTGTTTTTAGAATATACACAAAAGCATCTGATCCTCCAAAAGGAACACATTCATCTCTTCGGCTTAACTATTCTATTTTCTTTTTTTGTGTGTTGGTCCTGGGGCTTATACTTGGAGCCTAGGCCCTGTCCCTGAGCTTTTTTTGCTCAAGGTTGGTGCTCTACCACTAGAGCCTCAACTCCACTTCCAGCTCTTTTTTGGTGCTTAATTGGAGATTTTATGGCCTTCCCTGCTTAGGCTGGCTTTGAACCATGATCCTCAGATCTCAGCCTCCTGAGGAGCTAGGATTACAGGCGTAAACTTCTGGTACCAGGCTCTATTGTTTTTTCTTTCTTTGGGTCAGGGTCTTAACTCTGTTGCCCAGAGTAGCCTTGAACTCCTGGGGAAGCAGCCTTCCTGCCTTAGCCTCTGTGTGCCATTACTCTTAACTGATTTCCTTCCTTCCCTCCCTTTCCCCTTTAATTCCAAGTAGAAATATTGGGTTAATGTAAATTGGTGGCAGCTTCACTGTGGATTTGGCATTAGAATCAGAAAGCAAATAGGTCATGAATATGAGAGTTTGACCCCCCAACTGCTTCAACGGAGGCATTTGCCTGTTTTGTTTTGTTTTGTTTGAGGAGGGATTTGAACTCAGTGCTGATGTTGAGGCGTTTTGGACATACAGCACACATGGACATAGAGTTGATTCTTACGTGGCAGAGAGTTACTGATGGCCTTAACTTTTTCCTGTATTCAGCGTGTTCTGTTTCTTTCAGGTTTATACGACCACCTACCCAAGTTTACAGCAGGAAAAGATGCTGAAATTTGTGTTGGTCGGGGAAGTGTTGATCCAGGTGGACCACCTGCGATTGTGCCACGGGCGAATGCTGAGAGAACGGGAGAAGGAAGTGGGCCCCAAGCTACCCACCACAGACACCTCCTGGAACCCCCACTTACTGCTGGGCTCAGTCTTCACAGAGGCCGAGAAAACCAGGATAGAGGGGTCACCCAAACCCTTCTGTGAAGGAGACAAGTTTTTCGTACCGCTGCAGAGACTCCTGGCTTATCCCAAATTACACCGTTTTCATGTCGGCGAGGAGAGACTGAGGGCCCTTATTGCCGATTCGGTGTGTTTGAGTAGTGATGGCTCTGCGGTCGTGGTGGACCTGCACAATTCCTGGGATTATCGGCCTGAAGAGAACTGAGCCAGCCATTCAAGAAACATTGACAAATGTTACAGGTCAGGTCCTACGCTGGTGGACAGATAGATGCCCGACAGCCAGTTAGACTCTGCCTGAGAAGGCTGTGAGGGTTTCACTGAAAGTAACGGTGCTTCCCCTTTGAGGAATTTTTCTTTGCTCTTTTTCTCAAGAATGAAGAAATTGGATATGGCAGCATGTTAATTTTGAATTTACCTATATTTTGATGTTACGGCCGTGTATTGAATGTGACATTAAAAAACCTTAAAAGTGATCAAATACACTGTTGTAAACCTTTTCCCAGGAGTTATGAGTGATTTAAATTTTTTTCTAAGACTCTTTTGAGACACATTCTTTCCTGTCATATTTTGCTTAAACAGCATACAAAAAATGAATGTGGGAAAGGATTGTTTGAAAGGCAGAGAAGCCTGGACCTGCTAGAATCGCTGTATCTGTTTTTCCTTCCTGCAGTGGTGGGGATTGAGCCCAGGGCTTTGAGCATGTTAGAAAACTCTACCACTCAGCTACAGCCCCAGCAATGTCCATGCATTTTTGTTGAGTCACTTTTTTTTTCTTTTTGTGCCAGTCCTGGGGTTTTAATTCAGGGCCTATGGGCTGTCCCTGAGCTTCTTTTTTTTTATGCTCAAGGCTAGGACTCTACTACTTGAGTTATAGCTCTACTTCCAGCTTTTTAGTGTTTAAGTGGAGATAAGAGTATCCTGGACGGGCTGGGAAAGTGGCTCAGTGGTAGAGTGCTTGCCTTGCATGCCTGAGGCCCTGGGTTCGATTCCTCAGCACCACATAAGCAAAAAGAAAAAAGCTGGAAGTGGCGCTGTGGCTCAAGTGGTAGAGTGCTAGCCTTGAGCTGAAGAGCTGAGGGACAGCGCCCAGGCCAGGGTTCAGGCCCCACGACCGGATCCCAAAAAAAGAAAAAAAAAAAGAGTATCCTGAACTTTCCTGCCTGACTGGCATTGAACCGCAGTCCTCAGATCTCAGCCTCCTGAGTAGCTACATTACAGGCGTGAGCCATGCGTGTCCAGCCTGAGTCAGTTTTGTTTGAGTTTTGCTTTGCATCCCAGGCTAGTCTGCAACTAATTAGCTATCCTCCACCCTCAGCCTCAGGAGTGCTGGCATTCTAGGTGAACTTGATCATTCTGGCTGTTTCTGTTTTTTGAGCACACCTTCTCTAGAAGGTGTTGGAGTAGTTGAGCAGTGGGAGAGAAAAGTACAGCTTTGCCTAATGGGGGGAAAGCAGTGGATGAAATAATGAAATGATCATGGCCGGCAGGCAGTGGAGCCTGGCTGTCTTAGAGACCCACATGTGCCTCGCTTATTATGGCAAATGTAGCATGCCACCTTAGGGCCAGATGGAGGAATGGCCTTCAGCTTACCACTTGCTTATTTGTAACAACAGAAAAGAGAAGGGAGAAGTGGCATGAGCCAGCTCCCTGGTATGGGTATGTAACAAGTCCTTATGCAACACCACTTCCTCTTGACCAGAATGAAGTCTTTGACCACACCTATCAGTAAGGAAAGTGGAGAAGTAGTCGGATTTCCAGGAAACCATGTGCCCACTTGTTGGAAAGGTCTTAATCACGTAGCCACTGCTTGCCAAGCTCATTTCTCCTTCAGTCACAGGCCTTAATCATAAACCTCCCTTAGTACCTCCATTAACCACCATCCCTACCTGTGCTCAAAGGTGCATGTGATCTAAAGACTCCTATCCCAAAGGCTGTGTCCTTTTTGAGGTCTCTGGGCCTCGATAGCTTTCTTTGTGAGGCTTGCTTCTCTTCATTGCTCGTAGTCACAGGCTGTTTCTAGCCAAGGTCAGCCCTTTTCATCTTTCTTCAAAGATAACCCATTAATTTTGTTGGAGTCTGATCACTTGATTTCCCTCACCCCAAAACTTTTTAAATGCTCCCAATTGCCCTGGGGGTTCGGAACTGCTCTCAGGGATCCTCTCTGCATTTTTTTTTGTGCCTTACAAGTGAGGTACACTGAACTTGATCCAACTAGAAGATTTTACCTAGAAGTTGAATTTTTTTCCTTTTGCTTTCTTATTGGGGAATTCCTACTGGGAATATGTTGTATCTTACATGCCCATAAAGCATTTTTGTTGCTGTCAAAATCCCAAGGCTATGTACTAGTTGTGGAGTAGGGAGAAGCTTCTGGTTGTAGGGCTGTTGAAACATTTTTTTCCCCCTTTCTTTTGAGCTAGGATCTGGCTATGTAATTCAGTTTGACCTCTAACCTGAGATGTTTCTGTTTCAGAATCCCAAGTCCTGGGGATTATAGGTATGCATCACAGTGCTCACCATAAGCATTATGTTCTGACTGGGTTTAAGATGTTTGAGATCTTAATGGGGAACGATTGTTGCTACCTTTGCCTCTAGTCCCTACCTCACCCATCCCCAAAGTAAGTGAATAAAAACAGCAATGAAATCATAAATAACCTATCATTTTATGGCTGGTGATCAAACCCAGGATTGTGTGAGTGGAAAGAAAGTACTGAAAAAAAGTATCTGAGATGTCCACAGCCCTAAAAACCCTTAACAAAAATTATGAATTAGGATTGAGTGTGTATCTCAGTGGTGGAGTACCTAACCTTGCATGGTCAAGACCCTGGGTTCAATTGTCAGCACCCCCAAGACAAAAACGAAATTGTTTTTCCTATAAAAACCTCAAATTACCTAATGAACTTCAGTCAGTGACACTGAATTATGAAAGTAAAGCCACGTACTGGTAGCTCACAGCTGTAATCCTTCAGGAAGCTGAAATCTGAGGATTGTGGTCTGAAGCCAACCCAGGTAGACAAATCTGGGAGATGCTTCACTCCAGTTAAGCAGCAAAAAAGCCAGAAGTGGAGCTATGGTTCAAGTGGCAGAGACCAGCCTTGAATGTAAAAGCTAAGGAACAGTACTTAGGCCCTGTGTTTAAGCCCCAGTATGTGTGCGCGCGCACACACACACACACAGCATTAAAAAATTTTAAATTCTTGTTCTAAAATGTCCTAATAGATTATTTTGTGCTGGTGATGGGGCTTAAACTCATGACCTCACATTCATTCAGCTTTTTCATTCAGGGCTGCCATTTGAGCCACAGCTCCATTTCCATCCTTTTGCTAGCTAAGAAGAGTCTTACAATTCCTGTCTGGGCTGGCTTTGAACCACAATCCTTCAGATCTTAATCTCAATGAGTAGGATTACAGGTATGAGCCACTAGTGCCTGGTTGTTCTGTCTTCACACCTATTCTCCTTTATCCGTTGTGGGGACCCCTGGCCAGTCTAGTTTCTTGCTTCTGTAGATGAGCAGCCCTGACCACTCCCTATAGAAGTCCAGTTGGTAAAGTGCCCATTTTGCTACTATCAATACATAATGGAATTTACTAGGATTTTTGATGCAACTTTCTCACTAGGAATACATTTTTAAAATAAATGCACCTGTCTGTACTCTATCCTTTATTGATAACATGTCTTTACAAAACAATACTAATCCATAGTAGTTCACGCTAAAATCCTAAATTCTCATAAGGATGTATAAGCAGTGTATAGATAATTGTCTTAACATTTCTTCCCAATTCACTGCACACAAATTCGTTTTTCAAGAACTCCTTTGGATTGGTTATTCCTTTTTTTTCTTCCGAGTAAATCATTTGAATAGGTCCCTTAGTTTATAAGGCCTCATGTGCATCATTTATGATGACTTTCCTTGCAAGAATTAAATACAATGAAATATGGCTAAGTAGAAGGTAGTTCCATAGGTAAAGATTTCTTTTTTTTTTGTTTGTTTGTTTTTGGGTCCGGTTGTGGGGCCTGAACTCTGGGCCTGGGCGCTGTCCCTCAGCTCATTAGCTCAAGGCTAGCACACTACCACTTGAGCCACAGCGCCACTTCTGGCTTTTGTTTTTTTTTTGCTTATGTGGTGCTGAGGAATCGAACCCAGGGCCTCAGGCATGCAAGGCAAGCGCTCTACCACTGAGCCACCTTCCCAGCCCTCCATAGGTAAAGATTTCTGAGAGGGACTTTTTTTTTTTTATTGCTACCCATCACTGCCCACATTCTCAGACTAGCTGTGAAATACATTATCAGGAATTGTTTCAGTTTCTGCCTCCATAGTCTGGGTGAGTCTAAAACTCAGCTTCTGATACTATAATCAAATACACAAGCGAATTATAAAGTGAAAGATTTATTTGGGAAAGAATTGACAGATTTGGAGGTTCTGATCCATGATGGGTTGATCCTGTTTTAGGCTTTAGCACCTCAATGCCATGAGTGAGAGCTCATAGTGGAGCTTGAGTTTGAGAGGAAGGAGTTGGGATCCCAACATACTCTTCAAAGGACACCCAATGACCTAAACACCTCCCATTAGGCCCCATTTCCTTTAGGTTCCACTATCTCCTAACACTGCTACCGTAGAGACCAAGGGTTTAACACATATGCCATGAAGGAACATTCAAGGTCAAAATGATTAAAAACTTAAAAATATGTATTTTTTCCTTTTTTGGAGGGGTGTGTGTGTGGGGGGTTAGACCTGGCATTTGAACTCAGGGCCTGGGCACTGCCCTGAGCTTTTCCACTCAAGGCTAGTACTCTACCACTTGTCCCACATCTATACTTCCAATTTTTGGCTGGTTGATTGGAGATAAGTCTTAGAGTTTGCTGCTCAGGCTGGCTTCCAACCATAATCCTCAGATCTCAGCCCCCTGAGTAGTAAAAATTACAGGTATGAGCCAATGGCATCAACAAGTGACCTTCATTTATTTTTTAACATTTTAAAATTTTGTATGTATTGGTTGTACTGGGGGAAGGAGAGTTCACTGTAACATTTTCATACATGCATACAATATTACTCCATCAATTTTTTTGTTTTTGATTGGTCATGGGGCTTGAACTCTGGGCTTGGGTGCTATCCCTCAGCTCTTTAGCTTAAGGCTAGAGCTCTACTGCTTGAGCCACAGCGCCACTTCCGGCTTTCTAGTGGTTTATTGGAGATAAGAGTCTTAGGGACTTTCCTGCCTGGGCTGGCTTTGAACCATGATCCTCAGATCTCAGCCTCCTGAGTAGCTAGGATTACAGGTGTGAGCCACCGGCACCTGGCTTTACTCCATCCATTTTATCCCCTCAAAAACTCTTAAAGGTTTTTGAGTTTTCCCAGAAGCCTTAAGTCTTCATAGCACTCCCAGCTTTTAAGTTCAGTTTCCATATTATTGAGATGTGACCCTGGATCCCCTTCCAAGGTTCCACATACCTTCCTGAACACTGCTCCCATTTCCTTCCCCAGCAGCCAGAGCACATCCTTC